CTCTTACATGATAATTTTTATTTTACTCTTTTCAAACTTGTTATTAAAGCTTGCAGGAGAGATAATGTTATTGTAACGATATATTAAAGTTAGATACTGGTAGATATTTATTTCATATACATTCATCATTTTCATCTTTCATTTTAGCATGTTCATCTTTAAAGTAAATAGTTCTGCAAGCATGTTTTTGTAAACTATAAAGTTTCTTAAGCTTTGATTTTTGAGTACTTGACCATGAAACGTTTGCATAGCTAATGTAGCTACGAATTAGGCCAAAATAGATTTATGTAGGACTTTGCATATTGATGCAAACTTGATACAACAAACCTATAGTTTTGGTTATTTTTAACTAGATGTATTTTATATGAGGAATCCAGAATAACTTTTTATAAACAATAATTTCTAAGAATCTTGTATTGGGTTGCTTTTTAACTAGTTTATCTTAAGTTTTAATTTTTTTAGGTTTTATATTTATAATTAACAATGTTTTGAACACATCGACATATAAAGTCTTACAAAATTAATATATATAACATTTTATCAATATTGCTTAAGTGGCAGATATCCTAAGGGCACAAGATGTGATTAAGACGTTTAAAATAGTATTTACGTATTTATACGTATTTTATACGTCTTAAACTTCGTGCCCATTGGGTAAAAACATTAAAACTTTTTAACATCAATGAAAAAGGTCAACCTTCGAGTTTCTGAAAATTATATCAAAAACATCTTTTTTTTTCCTTTTAACTACTTCTATATTTTTTTAAATTTTAATTATTATTGGGTATTTTTACGCTCTACGTATGTATTTTTATATACTTTTATTTTTGTGTATTTTTGTATATTTGTGTAATTATTTATTTTTGTTTACATTTTTTATTTTTGTGTATTTTTGTATATTTGTGTAATTATTTATTTTTGTTTACATTTTTTATTTTTGTGTATTTTTGTATATTTGTGTAATTATTTATTTTTGTTTACATTTTTTATTTTGTAACGATTTTTTATCTTAACTGATTTATTGTAAAAAAGATAAAAAAAAAAAAGATAAAAAAAAAAGATAAAAAAAAAAAGAAAGTAAAAGATCAGAAACATTTTTTTTTTAAGTTTGAAAGTAGTGTTAAACATATGAAGAGTTTTTATGTTATGTTATACTTTATTATTTTATAATATATATAAAATATAATAAATTTTACATTACAGGCCCGTAGCAAGGAGGGGGGGGGGGTATTTTAGGGAAGTTTTAATCAAATATATTTACTATTTTAATATATTTAAATTTTTCAAATGAGATGCAACTGCACAACATTTCCTTATTATCAATTTATATAATAACTTTTTTATAACTTATTTAAAATGATGAACTTTCCACTTTGAAAGAATAAAAAATTTAATACAGGAATAGTTATCCAATTGTCAGAAGTCGCCGTCAGCATTAAGTAGTCAATATCACCTTGGAAATACAAAGAATCAAATGCAAACAAAGGATCAAAAGGAAACGGTTAGAAAATACAAAAGATCAAACGGTTTCAGAAATATTTGCAAAACTTATTCTGTTTAAAGTCTAATTTTGCTTTGTAAAAATAGATTTTTTTGGCTACAGAATTTAGGCAATTTTTACTTAATTACTATTCAGGTGATATTGCATTAAAGAATACTGTTTCAAATGCAATTATTGCATTCAAAACAATATTCTTTAATGCAATATCACTTAAATATTAATAAAGTAAAAATGCACTAAATTCTTTTTCATTCCAGACAAATTCATCAATTATTGATAAACATATCTTGACATTTACTATTGCAATGTGTAAATGCGTTTTGTTATTTGAAAATAAATAAAGTTTCGCCATTTTTATTTTGACTATGCTTAAAATATAATTTATTGATATTAAATATCAAATTAGAAAATTTTTTATTTTCCATTTAAAATCTGATTGATAAAAACTGTTATAAAAGGATTATTAGAGAATGGACCAAGTAAGCCAATCAAACCAAAATCACAATCGCAAAATGAATTCAAAATGTTAAGGAAAAACTCTTAAGCTTCAAGAAATGAAAAATAATCCCAAGGAAACTTTATTAAGCTCCCTTCTCCCTTTAGAGTAACGTTATTTTCAAACTTTTTAGTCATAGTTTTTTAGACTAAAAAGTTTGCAAAATAAGATTTATCATGAAAACTTTATATAAACTCTCTAGTAAAAAAAATCTCAAAAAAGATTAGCAAGATATATAGAACTTCACACCACTTCAAATATTTAGATCCTTTTTTTTTTTTTTTTTTAGTTAATTAAGGTGCCCCAAGAAGTCCTTACGGTCTTATCACAGAGCACCGCAGAAGAGCATTTAATAGGAAGTTCACGTCTCCGTCCCAACCGATGTTGCAAGACTTGCCTAAAGGTAGGGTTTGAACCACGGATCTTACGGATCCTTAAAAGCTAGTATTTTCTTTTAATACAGTAGAATTCCGTTAACTTGGACTCTGAGGAAATGTATATACATTTTCTGACTTAATGAATGACCTAATCAGACTTTCTGATAATATCCGCCTTATCGAGATTTCGAGACTTATCGACACAAGATGACACTGGAATGTTTTGATATCGGGTGTTTAAAAGCCACATATAACATGCTTTATCCAAATCCTCATTTAGCATTCTCAATCTTTTCGCAGAAGTTTTACTTTTTTAGACTTTTGAATACGTAGTTTTTTTTTCTTTTGACCATAATTCTCTATTGTAGAATTTATAGTATTTTATATATATATATATATATATATATATATATATATATATATATATATATATATATATATATATATATATATATATATATATATATATATATATATATATATATATATATATATATATATATATATATATATATATATATATATATATATATATATATATATATATATATATATACAACTAATACACTAATCACAAAACTGGAACTTTATGTACAAGTCTAAAATGTTTAAATCGCTTCATAACTCAAAACTTGAGAATATTTTGTTAAGTGCAATTATATAAACTTCTGATCGCATAAAATATTCAAATAAAGATGCATTTTCTAAATACATCAAAGAAATGACGGAATTAGAAACAAAAGGCTTTACTATAAAAATAGAGAGCGATAACTTAAAATATATGTTATCATTGCTCAAATAAATGGTGACAATTTTGGCTGAATCTGTTGATTTACTTAGAAATAAAGATTTTACAATTAAGAGTAAACAATTATGTATAGATATACATAATTGTTTACTCAATGGTATTAAGGAAGAGTTTTGTTTTTATAAAATTTCATAATTTCATGTTAGTAATAACGTTTATTGTGATACTATGCACGCTTTGTTAAAAAGCATTTTCAAATATTTTTTTCAAAAAATGTTAAATTATCTAGTATTTCACAAAAAGTTCTTTAATCTAGGTGACATTAATAGAAGAATGAAAATCTTTAACTATAACCACTTGTCAAACTGATAACCTGGTTCAAGTTGTCAAATCCACCTTTATATGCGCTGTAATTCAGTAAGTGGTTTTTATATTTGCTCAATAACAATTTCATCAATGAAAGGTTGATAACAATATGATAAAAAACAATAGTAGTCATCTTGAAATCCAAAAAAATGATGTGAGTTTGGTAAAAAACTATAAGGTTTTTTTTTTTTAAAATGGTACTACTGTCATAAATTATACGCCCAATCAAAGCACGTTTTAGATGAATATTTGTAAAAAAAATAGTACGCTGTAATGTTTCTTTAACTTCTATTTATGTGATCAGTTAGTTTAAGAACGATTCGTGTACCATATCCAATATCACGTACTCCATTTACTCGACCAACATGGTAGTAAGTTTAGCAGTAAGAGGACTCAGAACTGATATAAGTTTTTTTCCCTCTGTTTTTATAATTATAAACATCGTTAAAGGACAACGTCCCCTAGATTTAAATAATTGCATATCAACAGTAAGACTCGGTTTATAGCTGTTTTTACATTTAGTATAAAACATCTCTATTATATTTCTTAGAAGTGCAAATTTGTGATGAAAACGCCTTTGATTTCAAAATTCTCTCTCATCATATTGAATGCATCGATCTCTTTGCATTCTAGTTGAAATAATACGAATAACTTCTAATGTGCTCCGAAGGTATTTTGCATCTTGGTTTTTTATAATTAAACATTCCAGCGAGTCGTGAATATCCAGTTTAGTTTTATTTTCCAGTGCAATTGTTTGTGTTTCATTATTGCAATTGACAATAATTTTATTCATTTCCAGTATTATAAAGAGTTTCAAGGCAGATGCAAACTTAAAATTGAACGAAAAGACTCTGTGCAAGTGGCTAAATAGTATTTACTAGTTTGAAATTGCACGAACTTTGGAACTTTTTTTTTAGTGGAATTTTTGCGGCTGTTGCGAGCTTTTTAATAGCAGATACTCCACGCCAGAACCCTATAGGGCTGTAGTACACTGATTATAATTTCTTATCTATTGTAAGTATATTCAAAGCCAGATAAAACTCTTAAATATTTCTTTGGAATGGGCGCATGGTAAAACTGTCTAAAGAAATACTTTAGAATTATAATCAAAGTAAGGGTGCGGCTACTACATTGAGCGCCAAATTTTTGACTTGTGCACGCTTGCAACCTAAAATAAGAACATATTAATAGTAGCTTTTGTTTAGCTTGTGTGCACTAGTAAGCCAAAGAAAAAACATGCTGATAGTAGTCGCTGTTTAGGTTGCACGAACTTGCAACACAAAGTGGTCTCAAACTCCCATTTTACATCTACTGCAGTTATCGAGATGCTTAAATTGCCCAACTTGACTCTATGCTTAATTTAACATTATAAAAAATAGATGATTTATCATAATAGATTTTGAATAAAATTTGGTTTTTTGATACTAAACTTCAATGTGTTCGTTTAAAAGCACAAAAAGCTTAAGATGAAAATGATTAATTTCGACATTACAAATAGAGTAGTAAACAAAATAACTTGTATAAAAATTTATTTATATACAATGTATAATACAAAAGAAAAATAACAATCAAGGTTCAAAAACACTAGTTGTCACAGTAACAGTCGATTTTTGCACGGACTTTACTTTCTTTTTATTTAAGCTTTCAGGAACACAAAGAGTTATTAACGACACTGCAATTGTAATAACTAATATCAAAAGAAAACAAAAATACTGGTTGAATGGAAACGAAAGTCCTTTATTTGCCAAAGACCATGTAAAAAGACTACCAAAACTTGCGGGTCCTATAGCTCTAAAATAAAACAAAATACTTACATATATTGGCGTTAACATTTTTATTGTTATACAACATAAAAATTATAAAACATACAGCCCTATAAGTAACCAGATTGCCAATTTTTATGGATTTTTATAAAACTGTTAAAAAATGTTCACCTGTCTATTCTTCTATGATTCTACCACGTTTATATAGACATAGTTTAATTTTATTTTGGCTAAAGTTGTTAGAAAACTTCTTTAACAAAAGTTGAAAATAACCAATTTCTTTGTGGTAACACCAACAAAACTTTACTTTTAATTGCAAGCAACCACATTGAGAGTTAGAAGCAAGGGCGAATCCAGACCATGTCGAAAGGTGGCGAGCTAAATTTTTTTTTTTGATTTTGGGGATGCAGACATCTAATAGGGTTAGGGGGAGGGCAAGTTTCCGATATAATGATTTGTAAACAAGCAATTATACAATTTCGAATTTTATTAAAATTGTAATTTTATTTAGACAACTTAACTATATTTTTTCTGTTTTCAAACAACTTCCTGTGTTTAATATATAAACTTACAGAAATAAAAAATTTCAAAACAATCTAAAGGAGGCGATTTCCCCTATCGCTCTCCCTTCCTCCTCTATGGATCCGCCCTTGGTTAGAAACCACTGTAAGAGAAAAGATAAAATGTATAAAGGAATATCAAAAAAAAAAAAAACCTCTCTAAATATATGTTAACCTGGGTCTCAAAAGAAACTTTTTTTTTTCCTGTGAATTTGAAAATATTTGTTTGTAATAAAAATGAGTATTTTTCATTTTAACGGTAAAAAAATTTTTTTAAAATTATTTTATTAATCTTAAGCGTTTTTTATAATTTTTTTGCTCACAAATTTTTAAATAAAAATATTTATGTTTTTGAAGTCTCTGTATAAAAAACGTTTCTTTCAAGACCCAGGTTGAATAAGTTTAAGTTTTATTAATTTTGAGATAAATGTCTACCAAATTGCTAACAAATTTTTAAATAAAAATATTTATGTTTTTGAAGTCTCTGTATAAAAAACGTTTCTTTCAAGACCCAGGTTGAAATAGTTTAAGTTTTATTAATTCTGAGATAAATGTCTACCATAGTGAGAAATTAGGAGCTATCATGGTTTAATACAGTTCAGTGAGATTTAAGAAGACTTTCAAAAATATTTCTATATTGAAGAAAAATAATTTTTTTAATGAATTACCATATGCCCATTACTGTTAGCAGCATTTCATTGAAATTTTTATTTGAGATTATTACACGTTTTGTGCGTGTCTGTATAGATAAAACACTAAGAAAATTTAAATTCCTAAAGTTAACCCTATCTCCACCCCCTCTGTATAAACACAGGTTAAATTTTATTTAATTTAGAAATATTTTTTTAAATTAATTTTAGACCTAAATAAAAATCAGTAAAACTTTTATAACTGACATTTTAAGTAACTAACATTTTATTAATTTTAAGTTTAAAAAAAAATTTGAAAAACTAATTTTGTTGTATTATATTCAACCCAGAGTAGACAATATAGAAAACACACAGTATAGAAAAATTACCTTCCTATACACGAAGTGCACATCCCGATACCATTAGCTAAACCAACTAAGTCTGACTCAACAGAGTTGTTTATGAAAATATTAACAGCTGTAAAACCTGACGTCATAGCAACGCGAACAAATACTTGGTTAATCCACAAGATAACTCGAAGAAGAGTTCTGAAATATGAATAAATATTTATATTTAAAAAAAAACTTCCAAATATATAAATAAGTGTAAATAAACAAATCTGCAACTTTCAATAACCGGTGACATACATTGTGTTACCGGTTTCAATAACCGGTGACATACATTGTGTTACCGGTTTCAATAACCGGTAACACAATGTATGTCACATACATTTAAGACAAACATTTAAAAAAAAAGTTTTTAAAAGACTGCAAGAACGCAAAAAAATATGTAAATATTATTGAGTTTTAACCTACTGCATGTGGGGGTTAATCTGTTTCTAAGTGACCTTGTTAAAAGTTTGTGTTTTGGAGTTTGAAACAAGAGAAATAATGGTCTTCTCTAATATCTTAGTGAGATGAATTAAAAAACAATAACAAAGAAAAAGGAAAGTTTTTTAAACAAATCGAATTTTAACAAGAAATCAGCAACAATTTAAGTTCAATTTAGACAATTTTTTATTAAATTGAACTTTAATAGAACAAAAATTTTAATTAAAATGCTTTATTTACATTACAACTTTAGTGATGAACTTAAGTTAAGAAAGTGTAATGTTTAAGTTCGTAGTTACGAAAGTGTAAAGAACAGAGATAAAACAAAACATAAAGAACACAGGGAATTCAGAATCATTGATGTGGGAGGGAAAAAACTCGATAAATAAAAGTTTTTTGACCATGAAGAAACAGTTACAGTAAAGGGATGCAACTTAGTTAAATGCCACTCTCAATTGAATAAGAGATAACAGCTCGTGCAGTGAACATGGTAGTATTTGTAAATAAGAGAAAGAGTGCAAACATATGAAAATGATAAATTTGCATAAGTTAGGAAACCTAAGTCATTTACATTTACAGCGCATTTTACAGTAAAGGAATGCAACTTAGTTGAATGTCACTCTAGATTGAATAAGAGATAATAGCTCGTGCAGTGATCATGGTAGAGCAGTGATCATGGTAGTATTTGTAAATAAGAGAAAGAGTGCAAACATATGGAAATGATAAATTTGCATAAGTTAGGAAACCTAAGTTTTTCTAATAAATAGATGAATAAGAGATTTATTAGAAATAAAAAATACAATCATAAGTTTTAAAGGAGAAAAGACAATAAAAATTAGCAACCAGATCTTAACATGTAATGAATTAAATAAACAATTTTTATTAGAAATTATCAATAAGCAATAATCCAAAAAAACGTAGAGGTCAAAGTAAGCGTAATGCCATACTTTAGCCTGGTTAAACAGTGACTGACTGGTGATCAGTAATAAAATAAGAAAACTAAAATCTATGTTAACTGTCAGAAATAACATTGTTGTCAAAAAAAAAAGTTGATGGACTTAAGATATCAGAAGTATTATTAAAAGTTGTTGGACTTAAGATATCAGAAGTATTATTAAAAGTTATTGGACTTAAGATATCAGTTGTTCTAATGTTAGCTAAAGGAGGACATTGTTAATAATAGTACTTATTATACAATAGTTGGTTAGAAATATGAGCAGAGGTTTTAAAAATTGAAATCACATATGCTATTTTCCAGCAGATTAGAAAACAAGATTCAGTTAAGCATAGGATTGCCAGATGTCTGGCTTTTACAGAAAACTTTTTAAGGAGAACGCAGTAACAAAATTTACTTTTACAGGTTTGGTGATGCATTCTTTTTTGTAAAAGCCTTTTTTGTAAAAGTCTGGCAACCCTAGTTGTCGTTAAGCACTAATTTAGAGAGTATTGAAAAAAGTGCTTCTAAAGAACACAAAAGAATGCAAAAAGAATGTTTTCAAGACAACATAGGTTTAAGTAAAAAATAACTTAAGCAACTAAAGTTGAAATAATTTTAAAATTTAACCTCTTTTGCTGGGACGCCAGAAATAGCGTGATCATTTGATTCAAAAGAGGAATTAGAAGAAATTAGAAGAATAAAACAAGACTTTTGAGAATCTAAGAATCTAATCTTACAATTTTTTTTATTATTTGATAAGTTTTTTCAAACTTAAAATCTATTTTCTGTAATAAAATATTAGAACTAGTAATCTGAAAATAATGGACTTTAGCATCAGATATGAGAATAGTTTAGAATTAAACCGCATTGATCATCTAACATTAGACATATTAACTATTTTGCATTAGACCTATCAACTTTAGCTAATTTATCAGACACAATGTATAAATTTTTTACAATGATAAAATACAATAATAAAAAATAAAACATTTGTTTACAAAATAGTTTTGAAAAAAATGAAATAGAATCAGAAATAGCAGCTGCACAAAAAAAAGAAAGGGAGCAAAGAAAGAAGGGCAAAAAGTTGATTTGAAATAAAGAATAAAAACTTTCACGAATCCAGAAGATGAAGTAAAATGTGTAGAAAAATAAGATATCAGGCCAAAGATCAACATAAGAATGGACAATAATCAAAGAAAATTACAAAAAGGAATCCTAGTCAGCTTTAAAGAAAAAGTCAGGTCTTATGCAGAAAAAAAACAAAATTTTTTTTTTTTAACTTAGGTCATAGCATGCTAGAGACTGCCTAAAGAAGTTCAAGGCGGAAACTGAGCATTATTAGGGTCTAACAACAAAAACCAAATCAAGGAGCAAAAGTAAGTGAGTGATTTGTGCTAAATACGAGTCACAAGGTTAACTATAAGGGTAGAAGGTTGAAATGAAAACTTGATCTTTATTGTTTTGAGACATAAAAGTCAAAAATAGTACATAATATAAAGGCTAATAGATATTAACACTGAGATACTCTCATTGAGATCTCAATATAAATAACAAAATTTTACAAAAAGATAAAATACTATGAATGAAAAGTTACTTAATAAATCACAAGTAAAAAATAGATGGTAATAAAATTTTTAATTTAATGTTTGTAATGTTTTAGTAAATAAAATAATTTGATTTAATTATAGATCGCAAATAATATCTAAAATAATAATATGTGTTATTGTCAGGTAAATTGCAACAACAAAAAAAGCTATACATAGCTTCAACACACACTAAAGACACAACAAGAAATCCTGAGACACAACAAGAAATCCTGCTAAGTGCAACTTGGCAGTTTATATACATATTTTACATTTGATAAAAGAATCAGTCTATATACTACCAGCTAATCTCAGGATTGTTAAACTGAGTTTTAAAGCTGCACATCCATAAAGAAATAACAAAAATTTGACAGCCACTATCAAGAAGGCAAAACTTATGCAGAGAATCAAGAATTCCCAGCACTTTTTATATTAGACAAGACATATTATAAGAAAGGTTGATGCAGTTAACATCTGCCCCAGATGAATATTTTTATTGACACCATCACCATAAACACCATATTGAGACACCAGCAATGGCTAAAACCTCACTGTTGTAAAAAATGAAAAATTGCTTGGTGTCATGACCCAAAAAATCCTTTAAGGGTATGATTGTGCTATCGTTGGTGGTTACTGTGATATAAGTCCCTAAATCTGGTTACCCCCTTCGTGGAAGAAAATTCATTCTCAAAATTGTATAAAATTGCATTAAAAAGACTTGACTCTAGAGCAATAAAACTAAAATTTTTTATAAATTTTACTTTCATCCACATAAGTTTTGATAGATTGCGTTAACCAAGTTGTTTTAGGAAAGAAATTTTAAAAAATTGGAGCTTTTTTAGTTGAAAAAAGAATATACGAGTTATTTGAACAAAAAATAAAAATTTTTATATCTTGAGAAAAACTTCAAAAAACTGATTTGTAATATTCCTAATCAATTTTTTTGCTGTTGTGATGCATTATTGCAGCCTAGATTCAAATTCTGGGTGGTTGCTTGTATCTTTGCCAAGATACAAGCAGCCACCCAGAATTTGAATCCAGGCCGCAATAATGCATCACAACAGCAAAAAAAATTTTTTTTTTGCTGTTGTGATGCATTATTTTTTTCATTTTTTTTCATGGATTTAGTATCTGAAATAACAAAATATATGCCAAATCGAGCAAAAAACCAGGAGGAGAATAGGAAGACTGTTTGCTTCTTGTGTCTTGGCAAGGCTAGTTGCTTTTTAACCAACTTCATGACAGAAAAAGTGCAACAAATTCTGAAGCAACTAATTTTCTTTAATGATCCAAAAGTCCCAACTGGCATTTGTGAGTGTTGCCGCACCAACCTTAGCAAGTTTGAGGAGGGGAACCTTCAAACCCAACAACAGCTGTTTGATTTTTCCAATATCAAAGTCCATCCTGTTACAAGAGTTTCATTTTGTGATTGTTTGATTTGCTCAGTTGCTCAAGCAAAGCACAATTCTCCACATGCAGTTTTGGCAACCTAAAAACCTAAAGCAAACCAGAACTCAGTTGAAAGAAGATGTTCTCAATGTTTTTCAATATTTGGCAAAGGTCTCCCACACAGTTGCTTAAAGTCTACCTTGCCAAAGAATTTAGCAGAAGTTGTGCCAAAGGACTCTGTGGCAGTTGAAAGAGTTGCAACATCTGTCATTACCACTAATAAAGCTTCACTCCATTGAACAGTTTGTCTTTGTATATCTGAGGAAATAGGAGACCACTCTATTCCAGTTCTTCCAGGTAATATTGGATTAGATATTTAAAGTTTTAGCTTCATTTTTTTAGGCTATGTAATTCATAATAATGTAAAATCTCTCTTAATTATTTCAAAGGTTTATCTTCAAAAGCAAGAAGACTTTTCAAAATAGAACCAGAACTGACAGCAAAAGATCTTGCTTATGTGCAACACAACACAGGGCTGTCCAATTCTGGTGTGAAAAAAACTGGTGTCAACACTAAATTAAGTTGTTTCAAGTCGGATTGTAGAAAAGAACTTCCTCCCCAAGTTTGATCAGTTGAGCAAAAAACGTCATTTTACCAAATTTAAGAGCAAAGTTGCAACTGACAAGGGCACAAATCAGGTGGATAAACTTGTCATTTACTGCAAAGACTCTTTGTCAGCAAGTTCTTGAAACTAGAAACCTCTCTGATGATTATATTATAGAGCTGGTAGTAGATGGTGGTAGTGGTGG